CACGGGAGGAGGGCTGGCCGGGGCTGGCCCACTCCCTGTTTGTTTTAGAGGGACTCTGCTGTGCTTGTTCCTCCTTTTATTTGTTTTTCATTACTTTTTTTTTTTTAGGTCTGTTTTTTCTACTTGTTTTTTTACTTCTCAGCAGGGACAGGACATGGGTTTTACAGCCCTGCAGGCACCAGCTATGCTGCTTTAATGCCAGAGCAAGTACTGACATTGAAGACTTCCTTTTTCTCTCCCTTCCCTGCTCCCAGAACTGAGCATTCTGCTTCCTACCTGGCCTGGAGGCAAAGGGCCCTCCATGGAGGTATCATCTGCATGAGCTGGGAGCCAAGCTGGCCTCTTGGCTGCCTTTTTTTTTTTTCTTTCCTACCTAGCACCATCCAGAGTGAAGTGCTCAATGACTGTCGGTCCCCTGGGTCTGATGTCTGGGAGCTTTCCATGTGGCTAAAGCTTTAGGATGGCCCCGCAGCCCAAAGTGGCATGTGCCCTGGTTGTTTCAGGGGAGAGCGGAGGATGTTTGGTCCATTGCTGCTGCTTTTTCTGACGCATTACATCCTCATGCTCTTGAGCAAAGTGATCCTATCATGGTTGCTGTGCTCCTGTTTTGAATTCAGACAGGACCCTGACTCTCTGTAATGAGGAGATGAAACTAAGACTGGCTGGCTCTCTTTCCTAAAGCTTTCTGTTTTGACGCTCCATCTCAAAAGGAAGATAGAGGACTCCCGGGCAATATTGACAGCACCCATCCCTGCAAGTGCTCCTGTGACTTCCCCAGCTCCAAGATACAGGTCCTGCAGCTCACATCTTGCTTTCGTGGGCAGCCGGTTACATGGGGCAGCTTTAGCAATCGTGCTTACTGCTGCCTTATCCGAGAACTGTGCCATAGGGTTAGAAACCACACGGTAATGTTGCTCAAGGATGTGGAGGCATGTTCATACCGCAACACCTAGAAATTACTTGCTCTCTGTACTGGTTGCTGCAGCTCTGGCTGTTCCCAGGGTTATCTCCTGCTGCTGTTGGGTGGAGCAGCATGACTGTAGGCACTGCAGTTTGCATTTTATACCTCTCTGATTTTATTTTTTGTTTGATTTTATTTTTTGTTTATGGCAAACAGCATTTCTTGTTTTAAAACTCCTGAGAAAGCTGGGAAGTGGCATGTGAAAGGCAGATGGAGCCTTGCTCATGCAGAATTGTGCCAGTTTGGGTGGAGCCCTGAAGGAGCAGATGCTGCTTTGGGGAACAGTTTCCCAGCCAGGACAGTCTAGCAGGAGTTAATCCCATCTCTGAGGAGATGTGAGGAGGCCTGGGCTGGGGGGAGGTCCTCTCTGGCTTTGAAGTGGATAATGCGCCATTCAGGATGGGGATGACAGGTGCCTTGCTCACAGACGTGGAGCCCAAAACCATGCTGGCCGTCATCCTCACCGTCTGCCAGGAATGAAAGCTAAGATGTGTCAGGCTGCTTTCTGGGAAAAGGGCTTGGTCAATCCCGTCTGGGCTGTGATTGCTGTGAAATAGCCCCCCAGCTGCCTGGCACCCAGTCTGGAGACAGAGACCCCCCCCACTGGCCCCATCCCTTGAGGGGAAGGATGGGTGTGGGAAAACAAATACCATCCAAAGCGGGTGGTTGGACACTTCGGTTGCCTTCATTTGCTTTTGCAGCCTTCAGCATGGCATATCCATGGAGAAACACCACTAGCATTCATCGTACAAGAGGCTACTGTTGCATTAAATAGTTTGTGCTTGTTTTTTAAATAAACTCCAGAGCAGAGTCCTCCTGCTCTGTTGCCTCCCAGGAGGCTGTAGTGCTCTGGCCCTTAGTAACAAAAGGTGACTCCACGGGCACTTGTTTGTGCCTGGAAATGAAGCTGGCCTTTATCCCAAAAGCCTTCCAGGGTTTTTTTTGTGATTTTCGGAGTTCAGGCCAGTCATCGCCACCCTCTCCCCTGCTTGGCTGCACGTTCCTGCTGCTCCCACCCCAGTGGTCGCATCCACTGAGCCTCCGGTCAGGAAATCGCACGTGGTGCGTGTCGTCTTCCGTTCCCTCCTTTACTTCTTGCTGTTTGCTTGCTTGGCAGTGGTGCTGGCTCTGGTGAGGAGTTGGCAGAGCATGAGTGGGGAGAGAAGCGGGAAGCCGGGACCTTGCTTGTCTGTCCAAGGTCTGCAGAGCCTGTCTGGGGTGGGAGT